CTGGGATCCCAGGAACCGGCATCTCCATGGGCTGGGGTCCCTGTGGGGTCCCCATGGGCTGCGGGCACCTCTCCTTGGCTGTGCACGGCCCTACAGACTGCAGGGCCACGACACTGACATGGGGACCAAAAGGAGCAGCTGGAGAATGAGCCACGATGGGAAGAGAAAGAGTGGAGGAAGAGCAAGGGCCAGGCTGATCCCCAGCCCCTTCTGCAGAGCCTGTGATCCCTGATGGTGCTGGCAGGGAAGGAAAGATCCCAGAAATCATTTTTTTGGGCTGGTTGATGAGCGTTCAGCGCTGTCCCTCCGACAGCTCCACCACTGGACAACGCTCTCTGAGTGCAGAGGGGATTGAGGATGAGACTCGTTGCTCTGCACCCCGGCACAACAACATCCCAGCCCTGCAAGAACTGGCAGAGAAGTGTGCTCCGATGGCAGCTGAGCTCTCCATCTTGATATTTCTGGGTCGTCACGGCCTCGTGGCCGTCACCCCATGGCAGCCTGCCCCGTGCCCGCTCCGGCTCCTTCCAAACGGCAGCAAAACCCCGCCGGGAGCCGCCTGCTCCTGGGGCATGGCCTCCTACCCCCCATTAGTTAGTGGTTGTCTTAAGCACTGAAGCATTTGTAGCCTTATTCCTCCTAATCCTGCCTAATGTAGCTGTGGCTGTCCTCATTAGCCACATAATTGTCGAGCAAACACAAAACAGGCCCTGACACAGTCGAAGGAAATTGGTTTAAAAATACAACCCGGCATTCTCGGAGGTTTTCAAAGGGGGCCCTCCTATTTATTTGCAGTCACACAGCGCCGCGTGGAACGACGAAAAAGTCGCTCTTCCCCCAAATACGGATTTTTCGAAGCATGTTTTATGACGGAGCGGGCTTGAGATGCCAGCAGGGGAAATCCCCCGGCCCCCGTGCTGAGGACAAGCGCATCTCCTGTCATCCCCTGCCACACAAAGGGGTTTCCAAGCAGAGGAGATGGCATCGCCCACCCACGTGCAAGCACACACTCAAGCACACGCACACACAGCACAATGATTGCCCCAAGGAGAGGTTTACCCACCCCCATCCCCGAGCGATAAACCCTACAAATTTCAAAAGGGTTCCGTCCCCTCCTGCTCAGCCTCGGAGGAGCCCTCAATTCCGCACGGAGCATCCCGGTGCTTGCCTCCACCTGCTTCTTCATGGCATCTGAGACCCTCTTCCAGCTCCAGCCTTTGGAGCAAGCACCCGCGCTGCTGCTCCTCCTGCTCCGGCCTTCAGGCTCCCCAAAATTGGCCGCCAGGACCCGGCAGTGTCAATCTGTTGATTGCGCCCAAGTCCAAGGGAGATGGGCTCAGGTCGCTGAGCTCCCACCGTAGCTCTTAGGCTGTAATTACGTTCAAGGCTCTTTGCTTCGGTGATTTCTCCTGGCTAATGCTTGGAGCTCGCCGCACCGAGCTTTTCTTCAAGGCTGACCTCCACGCGGCTTCCCAGGAGAGAGCCAGGCCTGTTATTTAAACCAATTCACAGAGCGTCTCCCGAAGGCCAGTTGCCCATTATGGGATTTTTTTGAACAGCAGGAATCCGCAGGGCTGATGGCGGCTGGGCTCTTTGTGCCGGCTGGGGGAGAAGCAGAAGAAAAAGGATGGATGTCGTGGGCTAGCATCGCTTCCCAAGCTAACCTTCCCCAAAATCCTGGAGGTTGAAGGATGGAAAAGCTTTTAGGCAGGTCTCCTCTTCTGGGAGGTTAGAAGATGATCTGCCGAGCGTGCTGAGGTCCTGCTCGAGGTGCTCCAAGCGTGTTGGGGATAAAAAACACCGGGCAGGAGAAGCTTCCCAGCAAACAGCCTTCCCAACAAGCACACGGGGCTGCACCAGATGCCTGGGGACACAGCAACACCCCGAGCAGCAGCCTCAGCTCGGTGCCTGCCCAGACAGAAGGGATGCTTTTTTATTTTTTTATTTTTTTTTTATTTTTTTTTTTTTGAGGAATCCCGTTGCCCGAATCCCTCCAAATTTTGGCACGGAAAATAATGTTGGTCAGAGACCTCTGGCCCACACACAGCCAGCCCCTCGTGGGGGAAGCTCGGACACCATCGCCTCGGAGGATGGAGCCAACCCAGGTCGGCGTGCTCCGAGGGGAGGAGGAAGAGGAGCTCCATTTGGGGGCTTTCATGTGTTTATTTATTTATTTATCGAAGAATTAAAAAGTGGCAGTGCTAGCGCAGGGTAATTATCCCTCTGTTCCAGCTGAAATACAATTAAGGCAGCTCTCAACGAGCCCCCGGGATATTGTGGTTTACTAATTAACAAGCGGATATGCTGTGGCCCCTGTCACGGCAATTACAGCATGAGACAGGCTTCAGGAGCTCTAATTACACGTCAGCCCACGACACACGCCGCAGGACAAATTAACGAGGGCCCAGGCTGGCAACGGAGGGAGCTCACCCAGCGAGAGGCTGAGCCGGGCAGCAGGGAAGGGGCTGGGGACAGGGACGGGGGACCTGGAGGGGTCTCCCTGGCTGGGGATGGCAGCACGGGGAGCAAATTGGGGTAAAATATCCATAACGGTGGCAGCCGGGGATGGGGGAGCCTGGAGTGCGCTTTGCTTTGCTCCCTGAGCCAGGAGGAGCCTTTCTGGCAAGGTGGTTATTGGAAAAAAGTGAGGCGGACCCAGGTCGGATTCAATGAATGACTTCGGCCGGGTGATAAAAAATAAATATAAAAAATAAAAATCGGGATTTTTGTAAATCTGTTTTGACCTGCTCTGTTTTAAAGAGAAGTTGCCATCCAGAGCATATTGGAAAGGTGGAATTAAAGCGAAAAGCACACCTAGAGAGGACATTTTGTTTCTGGCAGAAGGAGAGGATGTTTGCCAGGGGTTTTTAGGGAGGGCAGCCCGCAGGGAGAGGGGCTGGGGGGGACACAGCAGGGGTGCTGGGACTGCCCTGGGTGACACAGGGGTGATTTTTGGTGGTGTGCCCCCTCCAGGAGGAGCTCCTTGAGCAAAGCAAGAGGAAAATGGGAGGTTTCAGGGCAGGCAGGTGCTTTTCCAGCCGGGAGCACAGCCAGCAGGGTGGGACTCGGTGTTTTTGGGGAGGAAGGAGGAGGAGGAAGAGCTGGGAGGGTGGAAAAGGGGGGACCCAACCCCGTCCCCGCTGCTGGCACCAGGAGCACGAAGCCACCGGAGGCCCCCCTAGGAGCGCAGGGGCAGCACTGAGGCCCCAAATAGATCTCATTAACCGTGGCAATTAACACGAGCTGGGACCTCTCTCCGTCTCGCCGCCCCCGCCGGGGCCGTGTGTGCACCCAGCCGCTCCCCACGCGGTGGGCACAGCCCGGCTTATCGCCGCCGGCAGGAAATTGCCGCGCAGAAACGGCACGTTTCACTTTTAATAAGTTTGGCAATAAAACGTCTCGTCAAGCCAGGCCGCGACAGAGCGATAATTGAAGCCTCGGCGTGGCCGTAATTGCTCGCTGCTCTCCTGGGGGCGAGCCAGGAAGCCAGGAGCGGGGTTAGGGGGGGGAGCATCCCTCTGCCTCCTGCCCCAGGGTCTGCCTCGTGTCCCCATCCCAAGCAGCCCGTCCCTGTGCTCCTTGTCCCCAGAGGTGTCCCCAAAGCAGTGGCACCCGTTGGGATGTGGCGGAGGAGGAGGTCTGCGTGGGATGGAGGGGTCGGGGTGCAGGCACGGGGGACAGGAGGTGCCCGAGGGGTGGTGGAGGAGGAGGAGGGCAGTGGGTTTGTGCCTTCTGAGAGGGATTTCCTAGGAGGGACGTGGTCTCTTGGGGGATTTGCACGAGGCAGTGTGGGAAATGCACAGCACCGAGGGCATAAAGCAGGGGTGAGGAAAGCTCTCCTTGGGACCCAGCTGCCCGAGACCCTCTGGAGACCCCCAACGAGGTCCTCCTGGGTACCAACTCATGCCCTTTCCCATCCCAATCACCCCGTCCTCCCCCGAGATACCTGACCCCGAGCTCCTCTTCCCCACCCGCCGTCCCCACGGGCAGGGGGTGATGTCCCCCCTGCGCAGGGCCGGGAACAGAACAGGTTAATGGGGACGGAGCGGCTGGCAGCAGGAAATGAGGCATTTCGGAGGCACAGCAGGGCCGGGCTGCTGCTGCTGGCGGGGGTCCTGGCCGGGCCGGGCGGCTTTGTTTGCCTCAACGCGGCGCTCGGGGGACATTACCTGGAATTACTGATCCGCATTCGTCACCACGATCGCGTTAATTGGCCACCGCCGCCTCCCAGCGCAGGGACTGGGCTCCTCGCCCTTCCCCAGGGTCCCTGCTCTGGGGGCAGGGGACGGGGACAGGGACGGGGCTGGGGCTGAGGACGGCTGCATAGAGCGGCACCTCGCTTTGCTTCGCCTTTATCCCACAAAGCTCCCACCCAACACCTCCCTCGCACCCGCACGCTGTTTGCAGGCCCTGACCCCGATTCCCGCAGTGCCCTATATTTGCCCCCATATCCGCTGGTCTTTTTTTGCACCTCTTTCCCAGCACAACCCCCTCGGTGCCCTTTGTTTCTCCCCCCCCCCCCCAGCAGAAGCAGCCCCCTTTTGCGCCGTGAGATGTCCCTGCTGGTGACCCCGAGCTCAGAGCTTAGCGGGATGAGAGGAGCTCACAGCCCTCACGTCGACCCCTTTAAAGCCATTTTGACTTTTTTCCCACTTCCATCCTCGCGCCTGGCATGGGGGAGAAATGTGGGGTTTGGGAAGGAAGCTGCCGGAGCAGAGAGGGATCCAGGGGAGGTGCCAGCAGCCACCTCCATCGCCCAGCCCCGAGGGTTTGGGGAGGAAAAATATAATTTGTAGGGTGACTCGAATCTCCTCCTGACCAGGCCCAGCAAGCTCCTGGGGGCACGGACGGGGGACACACGCCCTGAGTCCCTACATCACGGAGAAGCCGGCGTGGGTCCTACAGGACGAGGCTGGGCGCCCTGTGGAAGACTAGTGATTTTGTTGTTGTATGGCTCATCCCACAACAAGTCACAGTCTGCCCTAGGGCGCACGGCCGCAGCGGCGAGGAGGCACACGGGGACGCGGCCAGGGCCCTGCCCAATGCCCCTCGCTTCTCATCACCTTGGGTGTTGCTTCCGTCAGCCTCCGGAGCGGAGCGATGAGGGGATGGTCTGAAACCCCCTGTGCCATCTGCCCCAGCCGGAGATGGACATCCTACAGCCAGGACATCCTATAACCAGGACATCCTACAGCTGGGATATCCTATTACCGGGACATCCTACAGCCAGAGCATCGTATATATGGGACGCCCAGTAGCCGAGGTGCTCCATACCTGCAGCACCCCATAGCTAGGGCATCCTATAGCCGGGACACCCTACAGCCAGGGACACCTCATCCCTGGGCCACCCTATAGCTGGGGCACCCTATAGCTGGGGCACCCTATAGCTGGGGCACCTTATATCCAAGGCATTCTATAGCCAGGATGCCTGGTAGCCAGGGCACCCTACAGCCAGGACGCCCTACAGCCAGGGCACCCTATAGCCAGGGCACCCTATAGCCAGGATGACTGATAGCCAGGGCACCCTATAGCCAGGGCACCCTATAGCCAGGGCATCCTATAGCCAGGGCACCCTATAGCCAGGGCACCCTATAGCCAGGGCATCCTATAGCCAGGGCATCCTATAGCCAGGGCACCCTATAGCCAGGATGCCTGACAGCCAAGACGCCCTATAGCCAGGATGACTGATAGCCAAGGCATTCTATAGCCAGAATACCGTATAGCCAGGGCACCCTATACCTGGTTCACCCTATAACTGGAACACCCCATACCTGGATCACCCTGTAGCCAGGAAGCCTTACACCTGGGACACCCTATAGCTGGGGTGCCCTTATACCCAAATCACCCTATATCTGGGCCATCCTATATCCGGGTCGCCCCATACCTGGGGTGCCCCATACCCAGGTCACCCTACACCCAGGACACCCCATACCCGGGTCACCCCATACCCGGGTCGCCCTATAGCAGGGTCACCCTATAACAGGGTCACCCTAAACCCATGTCCCCCTATACCCGGTCCCCCTACACCCAGGGCGCCCGCAGCACCGCCCCGGCGCGCCTGACGTCACCGGCCCCGCCCCCCGCATGCAAATCACCCCTCCCTGTCAGCCAATGGGAGCGCAGAGGGGCGTGGCCAGCGCAGGACTTGCCCGGGCATGTGAGCGCGGCGCCTTCCGGGCCGGACACGTGGGGAGGCGGTGGGTGAGGGGGGGGGGCAATGGGGCCGGGTATGGGGCCGGGTATATGGGGGGGGGGCAGGGGTATGGGGCAGGGGTATGGGGCCGGGCAGTGGGCAGACAGGGTCCTGGGGGGGCAGGTTGTTTCTTTGGGTGGGCAAATTGTTTTTTGGGGGGGCAATTTTTTTTTGGGGGGGGGCATTTTTTTAAGGGGGGGCACATTGGGGTCGGTAATGGGGCTGGGGGCTTCGGGCGGTGGCCGCCACCCCCTGCCCGCACGGCCTGTATGGGATTGGGGGGGGGGGATTTGGGGTGTGGGGGGGCTGCTGGGCGCTCACTGACCCCCCCCTTTATATCCCCCCCTTACAGGCATGCCTCCGGGCAAGGGGCAGATGGTGCCGCTGCCGCCCCCCAGAGCCCCCCCACCCGCCCCCAAGGGTGCCCAGGGCCCCCCCGGCAGCAAGAAGCGGAGCCGCAGGCACCAGCGCTACCTGGAGCGCCGGGCCCTGCTGGAGCACAGGGGGCTGCTGAGACCCCCCCGGGGGCTCCCCGAGACCTCCCCAAGCTGCGGGAAGGTGCCCAAGACCCCAAATGGCACCGCCAAGACCTTAAATGGCCTCACCAAGACCCTAAATGGCACCACCAGGTCCCTAAATGGCCCCGCCAAGACCCCAAATGGCACTGCCACGTCCCCAAATGGCACCGCCGAGGACGCCACCGGCACCGACACCCCCACGGGGGTGCCCCCCCTGCGCCCCACCAAATACGTGGCCATCGACTGCGAGATGGTGGGCACGGGCCCGCGGGGGCGGCAGAGCGAGCTGGCGCGCTGCAGCGTGGTGGGCTACCACGGGGACGTCATCTACGACAAGTACGTGCGGCCCCAGCTGCCCGTCGTCGACTACCGCACGCGCTGGAGCGGCGTCACCAAGGGGCACCTGAGGAACGCCATCCCCTTCAGGGCCGCCCAGGCCGAGGTGAGCCATGGGGGGGGGTCCTACAGTGGCCAAAAAATGAGCTTGGGGAGGGTGCGTGGTCACGGTGTGTTGGCGAAAAGGGGAGGGGAAGGGTGTTGGGTGGTGTGGAGTTGCAGAGTAAAACCAGTCTAATTTATAGGACAAATACACCAGGCCCATTGCTGCTCAGCTCTGGGATCCCAAAGCACTCCCAGTGAAGGAACTGAACTAATCCCAATTATATTTTATATCTATATTTTATACCTGACTGAGGTTTTGTGTGTTTAACCCCCCCCCCCATGACGCTTCCAGATCCTGAAGATCTTGAAAGACAAGATCGTGGTGGGACACGCCATCCACAATGACTTCCAGGCCCTCAAGTATTTCCACCCCAAAGAAAGGACCCGAGACACCAGCCGGATCCCGCTGCTGAACCAGAAGGCAGGGCTGCCCCTCAAGGCCAGCGCCTCACTCAAGAGCCTGGCCAAGCACCTGCTGCACAAGAAGATCCAGGTGAGCTGCGGACACCTCGCTGCGGGGTGGGGCTCCAATTTGGATTCCCTTTTGGGCTCCTGAGTTTCTTTTCCCACATCTTTGTGGGGTCTGGGAGATGGAGACCCCCTGTGCTCATCCCACGTGCCCTCCAGAAGGAGAAGAGAGACCTCTCCTTGACATCGAGCCTCTTCCATCCCCAAAAAACCCCAACTCTGGTCCTACAAGCACGCAAACAGTGGGATTTCCGCCCTCCCTTCCTTCTAACCACCTTCTCCCCTTGGCTCAGGTGGGCTGCAGGGGCCACTCGTCGGTGGAGGATGCCCAGACGGCCATGGAGCTGTACCGCCTGGTGGAGGTGCAGTGGGAGACGGAGCTGGCCCGCAGCCAGCCCGCCCGGCCCCCCAGCCCCCCCACGGACCCCAGTACGGACAGCAACCAGTACCTGGACGACCAGTACTGGCCCACGGACCTGCCTGCGGGCAGCCCGTAACGGGGCCAGCGTCTCATCCGCCTGCTTTGGGACTTGGCGCCCTCAGCTCGTGGGCACGGAGGCAGCCGCTCACCCCCTTCCCCGGGGGGGGAAATCTCCCCCCAAAAACGGGATCCGTGGCGCTCGGTGCCTGGGGACCAGCCGGGAGGGGCACCCGTGGGTGCGTGGCTGTGGAGCGGGGCTGGCGGGGTGCCTCTGGTGCTCTCCGAGGGGATGTCCTGCAAGGAGGGTGGTGGTGTGTCCTGCTGCTGGTCGGAGGATGGAGGTTTGGAGGCTCTCCGCACCGTGGTGAGGGTCTCAGCCCCGGGACAGCAGCTGGAAGCTGCTCTGCGGCCTCCTGGCCATCCAGGGCTGGGGGCAGGAGCAGTTTCCTCCCTGTTTTCTTTGCACAGCAAATCCTGGCAAGAGAGTCCAGGTCCAATCTGTGTCCCTAAACCCTGTTGGAAACAGCTTAGGATGCACTTTGTATTTGTCAACTTCTGAATTAAAAATCATTATTGCAAAAACCTGGATGCCTTTGCTTTTTCCATGTTTTTTTTGGGTCCCTTGTCACGGGAGGGGTGTGGGTGTCCTGCAGGGGTGCTGGCATCAGGGAAGCTGCACCCCTGGGTGCTGCTGGGGGCAGGGGGTGGCTCAGGGAGAGCACAGGGTGAGAAAAAGCGACCCAGCTGTCACCCTCTGCGAGGGGACATCCCTCTGCTAGGAAGGAAGCTGCTGCTGAGGGGCTGCTCACAGGCAGCGTTTTCCAGAATGAAACCTGGCCGTGGGGGGGCTGGCTCAGACCCACTTCCCTGTGGCTCTGTGCGTGAGTCACCTGCAGTCGGGGCGCTTTTAAGAGCGATTCAGAGGAAAAAGGGGAAAAAAAATAACATCTATTGTGGCTCTGAAGGCTCATCCCAGCCTAAGGAAGTGCTGTGCCTGCAGGAAAACCTGCGTGCGGCTGGCGGTTTGCTACCTGAGCACAAAAAGATGGATTTTATGGGAAGGGCGCGGGGTCCCCATGGGCACCCCAGCCCTCGGTGTGAGAAGGGAGGCTGCGGGATGGCACCATAGGGTTTCCAGGAGCCTGGCCGTGCAAAAAGCTGGCACAGGGGTCAGTGTTAAAGCAAAACCTGTGGAGCACAGCACGGCTGGGAGGCTGCTCCAGCCCCGGGCTGGGGAAGCAGGCGAGGAGCCGGTGACGCAGCGCACCTGACGCACGCATCGCTGCAATAACACCAGGCGGCCTGCGCTCCCCTTAACTCCTCCCTGCCTGGCGGAGAAAGCCTGGGGACGGCTCAGAAATGCTCTGCCACATCCCACAGGTCAAAAATCTGCCCTCCCAGCGGCACTGCTTCAGCAGCTGTGCTGCTTCAGTCCAAGAAACAACCGTGCAGCACCCAAGTGCGTGCAGGGGGACGGCTGGTGCGGGTCTGCGTCCCTCCTCGCTGCTGTTCCCACCTCTTCCAGGCTGGCAGGAGGGAAGCACGGGAGCCTGGCCGGCTCCAGGCCCGTTTCTCAGTGTGTTTTCCCCTCGCTGCCCCAGGCTGGTGACCCAGGCACAGGCTGTCCCCGAAGTGTTGGCCGTGGCACGGTGTGGGTGCGCGGGGATGGGGACGGAGAGCTGCGACAAGAGGTGCAGGGCCGGGAGGCTTCTCAGCCTGTGACTCATCCTGCGAGGCAGCCAGGCACAGGCGAGAGGAAGGAGTAATTAAAGAGAGAAAAAATCACCATCAGAAGAAGATCTTTGAAGTCTCAAGCATCCAAACGCTGTAGTGAGGACGCTTTCGGAAGCGTGCCTGGGCCGGGCTGCAGTGCATGGGGTCAGCTCTGCAGAGAGGGACAAAAAGCTGTAAGACCTCACCCCCTGTGATCCAGAGCCATTGCAGAGCTCTCCCAGCCCAGCTCCCTGCCTGTCCCCGTCACCACCACGCTGATTTAACACCCTGCTGAGCCACTGCCCTGCTTCAGGGGCACACCTGAGGGTGGCGATGCAGCCGGAGCGCTGCTGCCCACGCACAAGCTTTGCTCCTGGCCTTTAATCTCCGGCTTTTGGAGAAGGGGTGGAACAAACTGGGGAGTAGCAGCGATTTACATCGGCTTTGAAGGGCTGCAGGGCATCCCGTCATGCCTGTAGGGCAGCCTGAAGGCCCAGCACGGGCATCCCTGCAGGATCACAAAGCGGGGGTAGGCGATGGGGAGGTGGCAGCACCCCCAGCCCCCTGGTGTCGGGGAGCGCCAGCCAGCTTGGCTGGGAATCACATAAAACGGCGATTTCCACCCCTTTTTCCACCCAGTGAACCGAGCAAGACCTAATCAGGATTTTCACAGATGTTTGTGAATATTCACCTAAATGTCAGGGAGCTGCTGCTGCGAAGAGCCCGCGCCTGCCCGGCTCTGTCCCCGGAGCTGCCCGGTGGTGCTGAGCACCTTCGAGCGGGCAGAGGAGAGCAGGAGCAGAGCCTGGGCCAGCTCGTCATCCGTGCTAAATTTCATGACAATTCGAGAACCCGCAGAGAACTCGCCGGTTGTCTCAACAACCCTGAGTAATGATTAACACGAGCCCACGGATCCGGCAATGGGGACTCAGGGCTTTTTTATCAGAGGAAAAACATTGTCAAATGAGTTTTTTTTTTTTTCCAGGCAGCTGCAGGAGCAGGTAACTGATAAGCTCGTCATTGGAGTGGGGCTGAGCCAATGGGAGCCGATGGCGACAGCTTTTACTTCTGTCTAGCAACAGCTTCTCCTCCAGCAGCAGACAATTCGAACCGCAACCCGCTCCCCGTGCTGCTATCCAGCCCCCCCCTCCTGCCACCCTGCTAAACGGGGCTTGGCGTGGGGGTCCCTCACAAATCGAGTCCTGGGTTGTCCCGTTCCCTGCACAATTCGGTGCTCCTGTCCCGCAGGGAGAGGGCTGTGCAGCCGTGGAGACGTGCGTGTCCCCATCGTGGTTTGCACAGGCTCTGCGCCACACTGCCTGCACGGCCAGAGGTGCTGGGGGCTTCTTTGGGGTGGGTGTGGGATGCCCATAGGGTGCTTGCCCTATTTAGGACCCCAACAGCAGCTTTGGCCAGGAGAGCTGGCTCCAGGGATGTCTCCCACCCCATGCAGCGAGCATTTGGTCCAAATGTGGTCCCATCCCCAGTGTCTGTGCACAGAGCAATGCTGGGACCAACAACCAGCCCAGGGCATCTCCCTGCCCAGGAACAGCCTGTGGGGGTGCTGCTTCACCGTGGGGACACAGAGAGACACAAATTCCCCCCGCCACTTGTTGAAAACCAAGCTGGTTCACAGCAAACATGGGGAATCAGCCCCGTTGCACCCCTAGCCGCGGCATCGCACCTCTCCTCTCCACCCGCAGCGGGAATTAGAGGGCAGAAACCTCTCTCCGCCTGCTCCAAATTAAAATCTGTCGTCCTAATAACCTGCCCGGGCGGAAGAAGCAACGAGGTGCGACCCGGCGATGAACAGGCACATCTGCCAGCTGGAGCTGCAGGAGGGGTGTGCGTGCGGGCATGTGTGCGAGCTGCCAGCGCAGCCTCGCGGATTGGCTGCGAAACCCCCTTGCAGCCGATGCGAGGGACCGGGGTGGCCTAGCAACAGCCGTTCCCCGATGGAAAACAAGGCACTTCAGCACGGCGCCTGGCTGCTGAGGAAGGGAGGTGATGGCACATCTCCCCCTGCCCCATTTTCTGGGGGCTCCAGTGCCGGCACCAGAATGCTGCGCCCAGAGGCTGCTCGCCCCATGCACCAGGGGTGTGGGGTGCGTGGGGTGGGCTTGCTGGGGTGTGAAACCTTCCCTGCACAGCCACAGCTCCATCTGCCAGGTGTGGGGTCACTCCAGCGCTGCGATGGGGACCCCAGTAAGGTATGGGTTGGGAAAATGTGCAGTTCCCAGTAAGGCAACGGGGGTCAGAGTGATTCTTCCATCCCCAGGAGCTGCATCACCTCAGGGAGCACCAAACTTTTGGGGTTGCAGCCTGCTTTTCCCCACCCCAGCTCACCCCTGGTGTGCAGATGAACAGCTGTTAGAGCACCTGTGGGTTTTTTGTTTGATTTTCTAAGCCAAAAGGGAGGTTTCAGAGCTGCCCAGAGGCCAGGAGCATCCTTGGGAGAAGCACGGAGAGCACTGGGACCACCGCTCCTGCACGCCTGGCACCCCCTCACAAAGCAAGCCTTGAGTTAGCCGCCACATCTGGGCATTTACTTTTTTCCCCCAAAACTGGGAAACAGCAAAATACTGACCTCTTCCCGGTGCCCCCTGGCCCAGGGCAGAGCATTGAGGGCAGCGTGACCCCGCTCCCCAATGCAGCATCCCCAGCTCCCCGCAGTGATGCTGAGGGCTCCTCTCGGGCATCACCATGCAGAAACCTGGAAAACAGCAAAACCGTGACCCTGTGCTCCTATGGCTGACCCCCAGGGACCCCCCCTGGTTTCCCCTCCGTGCCTGCAGGCCGGGCTGTTCACTAGATGGTGCCCTCGGGCTGCCTATCTCCCGCTTGGTCCCTCGCAGGCCAGGGCCGGGGCAGCCTCTCCTTGCTCAAACACCCACCTCGCCCCCCCAGGCTTCTGCCAACACCCCAAGTAATGCACAGCTCTTCCCTTGACCCACAGCTGCGGACATCATTTTGGTGGGTGATGTGTGTCCCTGGCCTGCCACAAGCCCACGAGAGGAGCGTGAATGCCCCGTGCCTTGCCCCCATTACATTTTGGGGACCATTGTTTTGGTATTAAAACAGTGGAATTAAAAGACAAGTTGGGAGCACATTGACCATTCAGCCTCCTCGGCAGCACAACAAGGGGCTGATATCACAGGGAACAGCACTGAAACCTCAGCACAAGCACACCGATGGATAAAATAGCAATAACACACAGCCAGCACCCCATATAGCCACGGTTCTGCAGGACCTGGACAGGAGGACAACAAGCTAAGACACATTAGCCCTACTGAGATATTTATTCACTTCTACACATAAAACAGCCGGCATAAAGCAGCGCTGTGCACCCCTGTTAGGGAGGAGCAGAGGGGACAGGGTGGCAGGGCACGGGCAGGGGACGTGGGACAGGAATAGCAGGGGCTGCAGGTCAGCGCCGGGCTCTGTTTGCAGTGCTGGGAGGTCACTGTTTGCTTTTGGCCTTCACCTGGCCCGGCTGAGGCTCCTTCCCTTTTAATAGAAACCGCCCCAGCCTTCATAAAATGGGAATCCCAGCTGCGAGCAGCATCTGCCGGGGCCAAGTCACACACGGGCACCCTGCGGCGGCACTGTGGGACATGCCCACGTCGCCCCTAACCCTCCGCTCTCATAAAATAGCAGAAGGATGGGAAAGATCAAAGCCAGAGCTGCACAGAGCAGCGCTTGTTGGCATTTTAAGATGGCATTAATACACAGTCCTGGTCAAAAAAAGGTGCTCCCAAAATGGTTTCTTGTTGCCCTTTCAGCAGCAATTTTGTCCCAAACATGCTAGGGGATGAGACTTGAGGAGCTAGGGCAGCTGAGGGAGGTGCATGCCTCTTGGTCTTTGCCATGGCTGGCTAAAAAGTGTAAAAAGGTGTGAAACAAGGCAAAATGGCACTCACAGGCCTCCACAATAAAAGCAGAGTCTGTGCTCCCGCAGTGGAAAAACCCACTGGCAAGGCTCCGTGGTCAGGTTGGGGGGAACTGGGGAGGGGTAAGAGGGAGCCTGTAATCCACCTCTGTGTAATCTCAGCACACCCCCTTACAAATGCCTGCAAAGCACCGTGTTTGTAGCATACGCTATGTTTGATGTGTGTGTTCTCCACCCCTAATTGTAGCTCAGGAGTAACCTCAGAGCAGGAACACCAACCTCTACCCATCTGCTCAAACAGGTGAATTTTTACTAATGGGCTCCAAAATATCCAGATGCCCAGCCACAGGAGGAGCAGGAGGGAGGCAAGCACCACCAGACCTGCTCTGTGGAAAATCCCCCTCTCTCCCAAACTGCCTTTTTAGCTCCAGCTTATTTTTTTTAATCATATATATAAAGTTTGGAAGAGAGCCTCCTCGCTGCTGCTTTTCTTCACCTCCTGCCAACTCCTCCAGCCTTCTGATGCCTCCCCCTGTATCTTACCCTGCTGTGGACCCCAACCCAGGGTCCTGCACTGCTCTGGGAAGCAAACCAGTCCTGCTCCGGCTCCGCCAGGCTTTTGATGCTCACACAGCCCCATCGCTGCTCCCTGACTCAGTTTTCCCAGCGGCAGCATCGCAGTGGGTGGAAGGGAGGTTTGCAAACCGCTGTGAGATCCTCGGTGATGGGAGCTGTACCTCCCCCCTTCCCATGGGGGAAACAACCCAGCAGAGAGAAGTGAGACACGCACGGGGATGTTCGCTTGGCTCTCAGATGCTGCTTTGAAAAAGCAAGCTGAGAACACAGCTAGGAAGTGCTGAAACGGGCAGGGGGAGGATCGGCCCCTTGGAGGGAGCAGGATTTAGGCCAGGGAACAGAACCACAGAAAGTCAGCCTGTCACAGCCAGGAGGAAGCGTTTATCTGTGCTCTCAGGGAAAGCCTCTCATGCTGTTGTTCTGGTACAATAAACACAAAATCAAGGCAACAGCTCTTCAGGTGCGCCCCAGGCTCCAGAGCAGCTGGGCTGTGCCTACACAGCTCATCCCATGGCTCCGGGTGGGATGTTAGGGCCCTGCAAAAAGGCCCTAATTTCCCTGGGGAAGACGGTGAGAAAGGCAAAGCTCAGGTCTGCTGACCCCAGGCTGGGAAGAAGCCACCAGGCAGGACTGATATGGTCAAGAAGACCCAGCACCCCCAGCGGGTTGTGCCTCGAGCTCCATCGCTGGGCAGCTTTCTGATGTGCTTGGTCCCCATGAGGAGAGGAAGAAGTCCTGAGCTGAGCCCCAGGTGAAGGCAGAGCAGATAAAAGCCTGTTTGGGGACTGGCCCTGCCCCTGTTTAGGAATCATTTTGGCCAACCTGCAGAGCACTGCTGGTTCCCCCGGACTAGGTTCCCAATTAGCCTCTCTGCTCGAGTGCAGTTGGAGGGCAGAGGATGCCCGGCAGTGCTCAGATCTTCACCCTGGCCTGAATTATCCCTAAAGTACGGTGTAGTTAAGGTTAGCAATGGATCCAGGCTTTAGCTGGTTTAAAAACCATGGCTTATTACAGGAGAAATTAACCCATTTCTGCTGGCCACACGGTGGTTTGCAGAGAAGAGATCAATAAATGAGAATCAGCCTCAAGAGAAACAGAAGAGCAGCGCTGCTTATAGCCAGAAATCAACCGAAAGGGCAGACTTGTAACAGGAAACATGCTCATAGCAGACTAGCAGCAAGAAAAGCCTTGGCTTTTAAAGGGAATGGGAGCAGCAGGCATCTTTCTTTCATAATTAGAGCTACAGGAATTAGGTGACCCTGTAGGTCCCTCCCAACCCAACCCAAAGTGACCCACACCACCACGAAGGCACACAGCTCTCAGGCATTAAGGAAAAAGAAGCCAACCCTGGATCATACCATGACATCCCAAAAAGAAACAGGGGAAGGGATGCCCAAGGGGGGCAGGAGACACGGGCTGCCCAGAGAAGAGGAGCAATAAGGGCCCCCAGGACCATTTTTTTCTCAGCAGGGGAGCAGAGAGCATCCCACCACCATGCCATGCCCTCCGGTCTGGGCCAGCTCCTGCACACCACATCAGCAGAGCTGTGGGTCCCTGCTCTGCTGCTGGCAGCCTTACAGGCCCCTGCACAGCCTCTGGGCTGCACTGAAAGCATTGCAGTACCCAAAGCATCACCTCTGCTCCGCCACAGCCACCTTTGAGGTCTCTGCACCCACTAGGAGCCGAGACCCATCCACCTTCCCCTTCTGATGTGCACCTCCAGAGAGCGAGGCGCTGAGGAAAGGGGATTCAAAGGCTGCCTCGCCAAACAGGGAGTCACTTAAGCAAGAGAGGAAGGCAGGGAGAGCCCCGCTCAAGAGCTTTGAGATGTCAGATCTGAGGGACTGAGCCGCACCTGCAGGAGCTCAGCAGCAGCTCTGAGAGCACCCTTAGCCCCGAGAGGATGAATAGGAGCTGCCCCCCTTCCTCTGACACCTACACCCCTTTTGAAGTCTGAGCTCATATCCTAAAAAGCTAACTGTTTTAAAGAGAAGCGGAGAGAGAAGGAAGCATCTTATAGCAAAGAGTAGGTGAGCATGCACATCCTACTGCTGTTCATTAAAAATAGCTTGTAATCTCATTTTTTTCCAGCTCAGAGAAAGTGCTGTGTATAAGTAGATAAGAGGCTTACATACCCAGGAGGCTCAATTAATGTTCTTAGTTCACATGGCCCCAGGTAGAAGGCATTGCTGACCCTGAGCTGCTGCTACCAACTGTTTCAGGAATAGCTTTCTTTTAAGTCCTTATAATCAGAGACTTTTTTAAAAAATGTATTTCTAGTACTCCTCACCTCTGTAACGCTTCCGTATGATCTTCCCTCGCTTTACAGGTACTGCCAGCTGCATACCAGCAGCCTGGTGAATACTATTGCTCTTCCCTTCCCCCTCTGCCCAAACCCCAAACAAAAAGGAGAAGCCTTCCTGAGCCCAACCCTATATAGGGGAGCTGGATGGGCTCAGCTGTGCTGTGTGAGTGGCTGCTCTGCCCACCTGTACCCCGTCCTGCATGTAAATGGACACGTTGTAGGGATTTGGGTCTCTCCTGGCATCACTAGTGACTACACATGAAGGTGATTTTCTCATCCAAATGATTTTTCTTTCCTTCTTTCTGCCCCCGTCCAACCCTCAGCACCTCACAGCTGATCTTCCTCACTATGGGGAGGATCTGGCCCAGGTGCTGGGGTGGACAAAGCATTTCACCCTGGGTGCGATGTGTGCTGTGTGCCCAGGCACACCGTGCTCCTGGATCCCTCCTGTGTGTCTGAGGAAGATAATCACATTTCTCAGTCCAACACCCAGCCCTTCCCCTCCTGCCCTGCTCCTCTGCCTTCCTCGGGGACCGCACAGTGTCTGCACAGCTGATGTGTGGTGGGGAGGCTTCACCAGCATCTGCACTGCACAGGCCAGGGAAGCCGAAGTGCTCCCAGCTCCTGAAAGGGCCATTTAATCCACTTCCAGCCTCTACCCCTCCCCTGGACCTCCCTGGCATGCAGGACACAGGGACTTTTATTACACCGCTGCAAGCCTTGAAGGGGACTGATCATTTTTGTGCCTGTTCCACCCCTCACGGAGAGCCGTCTGCTCCGCCGGGCCACCAAGCTTACGTGCCTCTGGCCACGCACACACCGCCATGGCACCAGCACAGCCAGCGGCCTGCTTTGGCCCCAAAAAGCCAGGCAGTGGGGAGGGCACTGAAAAATGCTGTGTTATCGGGGATAAGGGCCGGATTTTGGTTTCTTGCTCCCTTTGGTGGTTTGAGAGGGACTTTGCACAAGGTGCTGGCAGGGTGACAGGATGGCTGCAGGCAGGATGGGGGCGGCCTGGCCTCGGCCTTCCCTCCACGCCTGGCTCCCGGCCTACTTCTCGCCAGCCCTCTGTGCCTCTTGCAGGGCACAGCTGCTGGATGGAATAGCTGGAATTCCAGGGATGTCTGAAATTCACCCGGCCTCGTTGTTCCTAGAGGGAGAACAGGCTGGTGGGAACGTGAGGGAGAGCGGTGGTGGAAGCAGATTGCTGCCTCTGCTGAGCTACCTGGGGTTCTCCCCAGGGCAGCACCTCAGAGGCAGCAGAAGCACAAGTGGCACTACTTTGGCCCCCAAAACAAGGCAGCAGAAGCACAAGTGGCCCAGTTTGACCCCCAAAACAAGGCAGCAGAAGCACAAGTGGCCCAGTTTGGCCCTCAAAGCAAAGCAAAGGTCACACAGCTCAGCAGCAGGTGCCTTGCCAGCTGCAGATGCCTGAACTCGGAGGGGCTGGATACCCTCTGGAGCAGACAGCTGTGGAACTTGCTGGATGTTGGATGCTTCACTGAAACCTCTCTGGGTGGGAAAATGTGACCCAGAAAAGCAAAAGCTTTCTCACATGGGAAAGGTGAATTCGCCTGCCTGTGGCCCAGCAAGGCTTCCCTCTATTTGCTACCCTTTACAGGAGGGGTTTGGATTAATCCTGTGCCCAAGGAGAGTTTCCCTGTGCCTGACTTCTAGATATTGCTTTGTGTCCAGCGCCCCTGCAGCCCTCTCACAGGGATAGAAGCAGACAAGTGGGACAGCAACTCTGCACTGCTGTAATCCCCGCTTCTGCTGTGTAGGAGGGCATCTGTGGATATTTGCGGCTGTCACCATCTTCCAGCCCTTTGCCACGAGCCAAGACTGTGTCCCTGCAGAAGCCGTGGCAAAACCCCAGCTGAGCTAACAAGCCTCCATTTCTTATTAGGAAATCTTGCTGAAGGTACAGTAATAAAAACAGTATTTCTGAAAGAATCAGAAGCCAAACAAGGCTACTATTTTCTCCTAAAGATGTGCCAATAATGAGAAAATCCTCAGTCAATAAACAGCGAAGAGAAATGCTAAGCTGCTAGAAAGCAGGTGGGGCTGTCTCCAATTAGCCAGACCGTTACCACGCAAATGCAACATCTGGATTTTCTTTTGTTGCTCTGATGCTGCTTTTCCAACAGACAAATGCCCAGCGGTTCGCCTTCCCCTGAGGCAGCCCCACCTTTGTCAACTCTGCTTCCCTACTGTAAGCGGTGAGCTGCCAGCCCGTGTTACCCAGTTCTAGGATGCACTTTTTTACCCCGAATAAGGTGAATTTGAGCAATAGGCTTTTAAATCCACAAGCAATCTCTGAACCTGAATGGGATGTATGCGTGTGCTGCTGCAAACCACCACCTTGCCAAAATATTGCAGCTGGCAAGAGGGGGGCTGGCTGTGTGCTGCTTTAGGTCAAGCAGCAAAACCCTCCTTTCTCTGTGCCATGGGCTTACACAAAGGGTCTGCAGTGGGGCATCCAAAAGGGATGGTTTCTATCCACTGCTCAACGAGCTCCTGGGGGAAGATTCAATCAATAAATAAGGGCAGAACTTTAGAGCTGGGCCTGGTTCATCGTTTGGATGAGGTGAGCTGGTGGACATCTTCCCTTCCTTCAGTAGGAACAGGGAGAAACCTGTCAGCCAAGAGGTTACCAAAGGCTTCTGCCTTTTTTTCCCTTGTTCACCGCTTGAAAAGAAAGCAGAGCCTTCTGCAGAGTGTGTTTATTTAGAGTGAGTTGCCTGAACTTCTCTCCCTAGGTGTCGGACTGTCGGACGTCTGTGGATTCAGAGCTGCACTGCTTGCTCTGATGGGACGCAGGTCAGGTTTCTCTCTGAATCTCTCACTCCAAACACCCTCTCCAATATTTGCTTAAAAATCACTCTTTCCATGTCCATTCTGCCAGTAATTTCTCTTACTGGAATCTCTTCTAGTTCAAGTGCTGTCAGAAGAAGAAAAATTGCCCAAATAACCTTATTCCCTGGTGCTATCACACACCGGCTGCTCCGGCCAGGCTGTGCCCGCGCAGTGCCGAGGCAGAGCTGCCAATAAAAATCACCACGATGGTGCTGTGAGAAGCCCTAAAAGGCACGGTGGTTATGGGCAGGAAAACCTGCTGCTAGCAACCGGGTCCAGTTTATGCAAACACGACCTGGCTCACAAAAGCCGTAGTCAGATGAGGAGAGAGAGCTCCTTCTGTCATCCCCAGGCTCTTTCCGCTCTCGCTGAGCCCCGGGATGAGCCCGTACCAGAGCCTGCAGCACGAGCCCCTCTTTCCTTCCCTGAGGTCAACTTGAGCTTGGGCATGGGACAGCACATGGGGCTGAAACTCAAGTGATGCCGACTGCTGCTAGAAGCACAGGAGGAGAGCCCCGAATAATTGCCCTTATGGTAGCATGCTCATTTTCCAAGCCTCAGTACAAACGGAGAGGTCACTTCTGTCCCCAAATCTAACCCACTGCATCAGGGCTGGGGAAAGCAGTGGGGTCTGTGGCTGTCCCTTGGCACAGTCCCTCAAGCCCGCTCCTCCTGCTGCCTGTAGCAGCTCTCCAGGCACTTGGTGCCTTCAGAAACCAGCTGTGCCTAAAAAGAGAGAAAACCCAGACGCTGCTGGAGATCGGGAACCCAAGCTTGCAATACAAGCTGGTGTTCTGAGCAGCACCCCCGTCTGGAGACGGTGAAGTGTCTTGGGGCAACTGTGGCTGACCGAAGGGTGCCACATGGCTGTGCCAATGAAGCGCAGAGGCAGGGAAAGCTCAACACCTCAAGGAGAGGGATAGTTTGGGGCACTGGTTGGCACATCAGCTGTAGTCCACCTGGTTGGAAGCACCCTGAGCCATGTTCACAGAGCTAGCAGTTGGTGAGGGCGTAGCCTCGTGCACCAGGTCACAAGCCCGTCCATGGCCCTGGAGACGCAGAGCAGTGACTTCCCTGCAGCAGACATCCTCCAAGCTGTGGGTTCAGAGACCTCACAGCTACTTATCTCCAGCCCAGGCCCTCCACCGCCTGTTGGCTGGCCTCATTTAGGGACTGTGCCTGTGGCGTAGGACACCCCCATGCCCCCCTCCCTCCTGCCCCTGCCGTGCCCTGGAGCAAAGGCACCTCCAGCCTCCTCCCAGGCTGGTGCTGCTGGCTTTATGCTAATGGAAAGTTTTCCTCCACGAGGCAATTTATTTATTTATTTATTTATTTATTTATTTATTTATTTATTTATTTTCCCCTCTGGCCGGTCACGGCTAAAATCCAGTCCTCAACTTAGCAAGGACAGAGCAAAGGTCTCTCTATACGGGTTGTGGGTTCTGGCTGGCAAATCCTAACAACATATATGGTTGTTGACTTTTCAGGTTTACGAATGTACAAGTCACACATTTTGTAGGCCAGCTGGTGGGAGGTATTTTCTTTAAGCTCTTTGAAAGCCCCAGTGAAGAACAGTGAACATTTCTTATCCCCAGGCTACGTACTTATTTTATCCTTAAATGTTCTTGGTAACTATTCACAGATTAAGGCTCTAATTTTCTTTCAGAATAAAGGCCGAGATAGATTATAGATAGCAAGAGCTATCAGCAGAGGGGAGGGCACAGCTGAGATCCTTTTTGATCACTACAGGGTGATGCAGAGAATTTAACAAGCCATGTGTCACAAGGCCAAAATCACACAGACCAACATTTTGATGAATTATGTGAAGATTTATATATAAATATTCTACGTGTGTAAAAATAAGTATACAAACAGATGGAGAAAACGAGCTTAGCTAATGGCTGTGCCTGGCACTCGCGCTGCCTCCACCACGCAGGGGGCCCAGCGTGGTTTATCGGCCGTGTGACAGCGCTTCCCTCTCGCCATTGAAAAATGGGGGGGGGTTGTTTTAATGTCTCATAGCAACGCCTTGAAGGAGAAAGTGCAGTGTCTGAGTGGAGCTGCTGGCTAATTTGGGGAGGCAGGTTTGTCGGACACTTCTTGTCTTCAGAACAAGCCTCCCACAAATCAGCTTCATCCAAGTCCTGCCAGCTTGAAGGAATTCCCCCCAATTATCTACGGTGCGGTGGCACCCATGGAACCCAGTCCTGCCCCATATTCCCTCATGCTGGGTTCTCATGCGACCACCACAAGC